GCCTATAATCCTAGCACTTTGGGAGGTCAAGGCAGGAGAATCACTTGAGCTCAGGAGTTCGAGCCCAGCCTGAGCAACGTAGTGAAACCCCATCTCTACAAAAAATAGAAAAATTAGCCGGGCATGGTGGCGCGTGCCTGTAGTCCCAGCTACTCAGGAGGTTGAGGCAGGAGGATTGCTTGAGCCCAGGAGTTTGAGGTTGCAGTCAGTTGTGATGATGCCACTGCATTCTAGCTCAGGTAACACAGTGAGACTCTGTATCAAAAAAGAAAAAACAAGACGACAAACTGGGTGCTAGTCCTTCTGTGAGCTGCTTTGCCCAACTGCTTTCCCCTCTAGCAGCCAGCAGGACAGAGCCAGCACCAAGGGGGATGGCATTTTGGTGGGAGAGGTGAGAAAGTTGAGAAGAGCCCCCAGGAGGTGGGGAGCCTGTGAGGACAGGCAGGTAGGACCCTCATGCAGTAGGGGAGGCTGCAGAGAGGGGTGTTGGGAGAGAGCCCCAGAGGGAAGAGGACATGGGAAGCCAATCTTCCCTCAGGCCAGGGGTTCGGGACAGCAGCAGGCGAGGAGAGAGCATAGGCAGAGAACTATGTGGGTACCTCTGATAGAACATCTAGACCGTAATTTGCTTCTTTCTTTTTTTACCTTTGTCCTAATAATCCAAATAATTTTATCTAATTTCCTGTAATTCACATTATGAAAGCAATAGGGTTTTCTTGTTTCTTTAGCTTTTATATTAATCCTCTATATTTTATAAACAGCTTTACTGAGATATAATTCACATAGCACAAAATTCACCCTTTTAAAGTGTACAGTTCAGCGATTTTTATTCGGTTTTGTGACCATGACCACAATCCAATTTTAGAGCATTTCGTCATCCCAAAAAGAAACCCCGTACCCATTCGACCTCACTCCCTTCCTCCACGGCCTCACCCCAGCCAACACTAGGCAACCACTAATCTACTTTCGGTCTCCATAGATTAGCCTGTTTTGCACATTTCATATAAATGGAATCATACAATATGTGGTCTTTTGTGACTGGCTTCTTTTGCTCGACATGTTTTCAAAGTTTATCCATGCTGTAGCACCTATCAGTTCTTTATTCCTTTCTATAGCCAAATAATATTCCATCATATGCTTATACATTTTATCTATTCAACAGTTGATAGTTGGATTGTTTCCACTTTTTGGCTGTTATGAACAATGCTATGAATGTGAATATGTACAAGTTTTTGTGAGCACATAGGTTTTCGATTCTCTTGGATATATATCTAGGAGTGGAATTGCTAAGACCAATAGTAACTCCACATTTAAGTTTTTGAGGAACTGCCAAACTGCTTTCCTAAGCAGCTATGAGTTTTATTAATGCCACTGACAGTGGCTTATATGCAAAGAAAAGGTTATTCAGAATTCACCTTGGCTTTTAAAAATTAATACTCAGTATCTTAAAATGCAAATTTAGAAACATATGAATTTTTTAAACTTTTTTTTTTTAAACATAGGATCTCACTCTGTCACCCAGGCTCACTGAATCCTCGAACTTCCATCCTCCCACCTCAGCCTTCCTGAGTAGCTAGGACTACAGGTATGCGCCACCATATCTGACTAATTTTTTAATTTTTTTGCAGAGACAGTGTCTCACTATGTTGCCCAGGCTAGCCTTGAA